GGCTGGTTCTCCATCGTGATGGTGTAGACAGAGCGGACATCGACGTTCTTGATTCCTTCCTTTCCAAGCAGATACGTGTATACAGTAGTTGGTTCAAGGACATTGTTCTCCTTGCAGTCACGACACTCGGTCAGGTAGCGGAAGTTGTACATGGAGAGTGGGCGGTGAGTGCACTTGTTGAAATTGACGGACTTGGTCACCTCAGTGATGTCCTCCTCCCGCCTGACGATCGTGTACGCCACCTCACATTCGCCTTCGATTGTCCTCTCTACGGCGGTGAAGTAGTCATTGTTGAGCTCGCGAACGTTCTCGTATCGCTCCATGTTCGTTTCGTCTGTGCGTCCCATCTTGTGCAGGTTCAGCTGCAGCAAGTTGATGATCGAGCGCTTCACGTTCATCGACCAGGTCTCGTCGTTGTGGAAGAACTGCAGCTCGGACACCATTCCATTTCTGTAAGCAAATCTCACCGGCAGCTCGAGAAGTTCGAGATGCTCCCTTGCAATTGTGCGGAGCTTCAGGTCTTCAATGTTCTTGAAGGTCTCCTTGCGTTCGTCCTTTCCAGTAGCAAATCGCACATTTTTCAGCTTCAGGATGGCGTAGTGGTCGTCGAGGGTCTGCACATGCACCATCGACTCGAAGCGCGAGATTTCAGTGTCAGTCGGTAGAGGGATGCCGGTGTGGACATCTCCTTCGAAGCGGAAGATGTATTCAGTGCGAGGCTTCAGGAGGACTTGGTCCAAGGTGGTGTGGACCGCGAGGGCCACACCAATCAGGACTAGAGGGGCAAACCTCATGGTGAAGTGAAGAAAACCTCTGCGCACCCCTTTTAAACGAGAACGCTATCAGCTGATATCTGCAGATTGACACCTGCCTTTTTTGTGAAAAAACGCTCATATGTCCATCTCTGGGGTTTATTGGAGTATATTCTGCCGTGCTGTCAATATTTCTGGCGCCAGCTGTAACTAATTTTGGACATTTTGGCTACTGGCTCTCAAAGGTCAAAGGACGAATTTTTAAAGCTCAAAATAGTGTTTCCCATCGCATAGGTTATTTGTGGACTGGAGAATAAGATCTTTCAGAGGCAAAACAATCGTAGTTATCTTCTCCTCATACAAAACATCTAATTATGGATGACCTCTATGCAGCGATGAGTGCTAGCCCCACCTCCTCCGCCTCCTTCCCCTCCTCCCTCACCGGCTCTCGGAGGTCTTTGTCCAGTGTGCAAACACACGGGTAGCCATAACATGGCTTTCCTCCTCGAAGACCCAAGTATTTGCTGATTAT